CACACTATGAGTGACTTGCAGAGGCAAAGGAACAAGCGATCGTTCATATCAATGGAGAGTAAATGACTTTCGGCGACCTCAATCTATGCCATAGATATATACACTAGATATCGCATAAGGACCCTGAGCATGCGTCAATAGCGCCGCCACATTGGTACAGTGCTCCCAGGACAAATGTCATTCAACCGCACTAGTCAAGACAGTGTTATTACGTGAAGATGCGGGACTTTAGCGCTGTCTACGAGTGTAGTAACGAGCAAACAAAGAAAACAAAGTACAAAGGCAGAACATTTCATGGGTAATAATAAGTTTTTTTTTCTGTTTTTGTATGTTCTGAACTTTTGTGCTAATCAGGTAACGTTATTGATGATAACGGTCACTTACTGCATTCACCATAAGACAAAGTAGCTCCAACTCGCACTAAACACTCGGCTTATGCTAGTTTTGTTGAATAAAATCAGCAAACAATGCCAAAGAAATATGACAACGAGATGCTGCGCTGCCAGAAACTTGTATTATTGTCGGCTAACGTTAGTGAAAGAGTCGTTCAGGGGATTCATTCACAAACAAATCGCTCCCTCCGTCAGTAAGAGAAGTGAAAGCAGGAGAGGAGCTGTGTTTCAGGACATGATTAGATTAAATTTAACAGGGAGGGTGAATAGTACATTTCTGTACACACAAACACAAGCTTTTTGTCAGGAATGCCCGTGCGGTCACTGATCCATCAATGTAGAAAAGTGATGTAAAATTATAATTTTCGTAATTAGAAAAAAAAAATTACATACTAACATCCAGGAAAACTCCCGATCACAGATATATGTGTATATCTCTGGCTTTGCATGGCCACAGTCCTCCACTGTACTTTGGTCCCGCATTCACTTCAAAGGAGCACTACCCTGTAGCAAGATGGCGGCGCTGTTGACGCATTCCGTCCAATAGACAACAATAGGCCAGGCGACATCTAGTGTATATATCTATGGATCTATGCAAGCGACAACAACCGTAGGCGACCAGGTTGGCATAATGAGCGACGCGACAAAGTTGAGAATACTTTATGCAAATGAAGAGCAACTTTCTTGAGTGACACCAGTAGAGTTCATGTAATCCTCTCCCAGCTCACTCGGAGGCCAGTTGTATTCTCCATGCTCAGACCAGCGACCAGCGCTGCTAGTGTGAATGTGGCTTTAGTGCTACAACTTTTAATAAATAACCATGTGTGAATCCCATTTACTGTATGCCATATAACATATCTCGATTAGCCTCTAAAATACTTTAAAAAACTGTGCTGCATCTTGCTTGTTGCTGAGAAATAGCTTTTTTTTAGGAAACATATTTTTTAAAAGCAGCTCACAGAGCAGTACTGAAAACCACTTGCTTGTGAACTTTCCTGTGAGTGTGCTAGGTAATCTCTGATCTGTGTGAGTGCTGTGTGCAAGGATGCACTTAAGTGGTGCGCAGGTGCTTGTGCGTGACCAAAATAAGAAATGTGTCGTGTGAATAAGAGTAAGAGCACTCATTTTAGTACTGTTAGATAATGAAAACGTAAAGATCCATAACCACAACATGAAGGGTGACATCACTTTAACAAGTGTAACTTCATCTGCTGATCACAAACAAACTAAACAAAACTAGTAAAGAAAGAAAATTGGTAGCATTTTATAATAACTAAACACTTTGAATAATTTATTAAGCATTAGCAAATAGTTAAATCATTACTTGTTAAGCATCAACTCTACGATAATAGACATTACTAAACAGTTTATATCTACAGATATAAATGCAAGCATGTATTGTGTATTTATATACCGCATTTATTGTGTATGGTCGTACACTTAAAGAGCATTACAATCATGAGGTTTGTCTCCCCACTCCACCACAAGTGTGCAGCATTCACTTGGATGAAGCGACGGCAGCCACAGGACATTGGCCCCAGTGCTTCACCACACACCAGGGGCCTCATGTACGAAGACTTGCGTGGAAATCTTACTAAAACATTGCGTACGCACAAAGCTGTAAATGTGCGTACGCAGAAAAAAAATCAGATGTATGAAACACTGCGTACGCCGAATCTCACGCATATTCTTTTGTACATCCGAATGAACGTGAAACTGAGCGCAACATGCACGAGCGCAAAACCCCTCCCTGCCTCCTCCCCCGTATGAATATGCTAATGACTATGCTAATGGCAAAACCCAACGAAAAAGCAATGGCAAAATCAAGCAAAAAGAGAAACTTTGAACAGAATGTGAATTGGAGGTGCTCCTTTCGGAGGTAGACCGGAGAAAAGCGGTGTTATTTGCAAGTTTGTTCTCCGGAATTAACAACAAAAGAAAAAAAATAGAGTGGGAGAGTTTAGCTGATGCGGTTAACACAGTTGGGTCTGAACATCGCACTGAGTGCATTAAAAAAAATAAATAGTGTGGTTTATATCTGTAAAATGTTGCAGCACTCTTAACAGTATCAGTGGCGCGCTCGTAAGACGCATGCGGTCATGTTTTGACACAGTCGAGCATGAACTCGGCTCGAATCCAGCGTCTGATGAACTCTTTCTTCTTTTTTTTCCCCGCTACATATCAGATTTTGCCAACTATTTATCACGAGAAAGACAAGTAGGAATCATCAATAAGTCTGTGCATCATATTTTATTTGCACATTTATTGAATGGAGATGTTTCTGATTCATGAATGCAAATTCATCTTCAGATAGTGTCTTTATAGCAATGTGCGTGCGGTAGATCGCTCAGATTACATTGGGAAAACAGGCGACCGCTGCAAATTGTGCTTTAATGTTTAGCTGCTCAACTGTATGGTATGGAAGCCTTATTTACCTGCTAGATGAACCCGTCTCATCCAGCTGCCATTGCAAGGCTCAGACACTTTCTAGAGAGGAATTTAACACAACTGCCTCTAGGAGTCGCCAATGGAAATAAAACAGACACGCACAAAAAATGTGCGTACGCCTGCCAAAAAGCTGCCGTGAAGCTGCGCACATTCCCACGTTCAGTTCATTGTTAGTAAATCCAAATGTGAGCGATTCTGAGCGTGAAACCTGGCGTACGCAAAGTTTTTGTGCGTACGCAACGTTGATACATGAGGCCCCAGCTGTTGCTGGAGTGGAGAGACAGTGATAGAGCCAATTCGGCTGATGGGGATGATTGGAAGGTCATGATGGGTAAGGGCCAATGCAGGGATTTTGGCCAGGACATCAGTGTTACAACCATACTCTTTACAAGAAGTGCCATGGGATTTTTGAATGACCACAGAAAGTCAGGACCTCAATTTAACGTCTCATTCAAAAGACATAATGCTGTATTTTTGACTTATAAGCTCATGTATAATATGCTCAATCATTGTTTAGATATCTTTATATTTTTTTTACTACTAAATTAAGTATTGAATTATTTACAAAGTAGTAAAGTCCCAACGAGTAACCAACTGGTCCTACTGCACCCGACCCAGTCTGAGCTGGAATTGAACCGGCGATTCTTTGCATGGGAGACAGTTGCTCTAACAAGTAGGCTAAAGACCATGACGCTTAGCATCTGTTGCTAGAGCACCTTTTGAGGTCAGGGGAGTAAGGTTTACCTGCATAGCACTTTAATAGCTGGCCTTTATAACACTCGACCCCCTAAACCTCACTTCTATCCCGGACGAGCCCCCACATGTAACCCACCAATCCTACTGCATCCAACCCAGTCTGAGCTGGGATCAAACCAGCGATTCTTTGCATGAGAGTCGGTTGCTTTGACAAGTAGGCTAAAGACCATGACGCTTAGCATCTGTTGCTAGAGGACCTTTGGAGGTCAGGGGAGTAATGTTTACCTGCATAGCACTTTACTAGCTGGCCTTCATAACACTCGAGCCCCTAAACCTCACTTCTATCCCGGACGAGCCCCCACATGTAACCCACCAATCCTACTGCACCCAACCCAGTCTGAGCTGGGATCAAACCAGGGATTCGTTGCATGGGAGTCGGTTGCTCTAACAAGTAGGCTAAAAACCATGGCCTTTAGCATCTGTTGATAGAGCACCTTTTGAAGTCAGGGGAGTGAGGTTTACCTGCATAGCACTTTACTAGCTGGCCTCCGTAACACCTGACCCCCTAAACCTCACTTCTATCCTGGATGAGCCCCCACATGTAACCCACCAATCCTACTGCACCCAACCCAGTCTGAGCTGGGATCAAACCAGGGATTCGTTGCATGGGAGTCGGTTGCTCTAACAAGTAGGCTAAAAACCATGGCCTTCAGCATCTGTTGCTAGAGCACCTTTTGAGATCAGGGGAGTGAGGTTTACCTGCATAGCACTTCAGTAGCTGGCCTTCACTGCACTCGACCCCCTAATCCTTCCTCCCATCCCGGACGAGTCCCCAAATGTAACCCACCGATCCTACTGCACCCAATCCCACCTGAATCGGGGATTCATTGCATGAGAGTCAGTTGTTCTAACAAGAGGGCTAAAAACCATGGCCTTTAGCATCTGTTTAGAGCACCTTTTGAGATCAGGGGAGTGAGGTTTACCTGCATAGCACTTCAGTAGCTGGCCTTCGTTGCACTCGACCCCCTAATCCTTCCTCCCATCCCGGACGAGCCCCCAAATGTAACCCACCGATCCTATTGCACCCAGCCCAGTCTGAACTGGGGATTCGTTGCATGAGAGTTGGTTTTTCTAACAAGAAGGCTAAAGACCATGGCCTCTAACGTCTAGTTCATTGGACTTACTAACATTTTTTTTAAGGTAACTGATTGCCAACAACTTATCAGGGCTGAGTTTAAACAAGTTAATTAAGTTGCATAAATGTAAATTCAGCGCACATAAATTATTTACCAACACTCACCCTAAAAAATAGCAAAACCAATGTATAAACTATTTTTCAGTGTAGATTATGTTGTCTATTTTCAACCCTACTTTTTGTTTTAGCATTGGCTGTGCTCACTGATCAGCCGACAAGCAAACAACAGGTAAATAGTCAGGTTAAGCAAGAACAATGGCATCACTCACCTCTCTCACAGGTTCGATCCCAGTACCCTGTCCCGGTGCAGTCGCAGATGAAGCGGTTCCAGCCTTCTTTGCAGATGCCATTGTTTTTGCAGGAGTTGCTGTCGCACTGTTTGGCTGTTACTTTGCTGCAGGATGACTTAATTCCCCCTACATTCTGGGCCTCAGCAATCTGCCGAATATCTTTACTGCGCCCATCTATGAAGAGATCACGAATGCAGCCTACATAGCCATAGTTCAGCATAGCGGTCCACAGTTCGGTGGGAAGGATCAGGTCAGCGCGGTTATCTGGTAGACCTCCGAGATATAGGTTACCCTCCAGGTCTAGAATCTCATTCTCTCCACTGGCAGTGAACGGAGTCCGACGGCTGTTCACAGAGATGATTCCTGGTCAAAAAAGAAACAGAAATAAACTCAAATCAAAAATAAATTACTAAATGAGCTAAGCTAAAAGACGATAATGATGACAAATGGTACAGGTAAGAAACATTGTGGTCAGGCCAGTGGCCAGCCTGGTGAAAGAGTGGTTATTTTTTGCCTAAAAACATTTTTTTGTAGTTATTTACCTTATTTCCTGTTTAATTATGATGTTTAAATACTTCATTTTAGTGATGGTTTAAGCATTTTTTGTTTAAATAGCTTGTCGGATGGTCATCATAACCACACATTTTGATGTACCAAAAAACTTATTTTGGAATTTTGAATTAAGAAATATGAAATATATTTTAAAATACTAGTTTATTAAATCATACATCATTAGTAAAAAAAAAATAGAAATCTGTAAAAATTTACTTTAAAATTGTATATATATATATATATATATATATATATATATATATATATATGCATATATGTGTGTGTGTATATATATATATATAAAAAAAAATTTACTAACTTTTGTATTATTATTTTTCATATCATTCAGCCTCCTTTTTGGTGTCAAATTCACTGTTTTCACATTGTTTTATATTTTAAAATATTATTTATCTAGTATCTATGAATGTATATTAATTAAGCACTGGTGAAATAAGTTAAATATTTTATAGTTAATAATGTGAGAAAATATAGCTGTCGCACAGCATCAGTGTCATTTCCAACACAACACTGTATTGTCGCTTTAAAAAGTTTGTGTGAAAGATTATTTAGATGGTTTCTATGAAAATGAATCTGAGAGCATGTTCAAGATGGAGGGAATTAAACTTTTTATCAACTACACTTTAAGAAAAATAAAAGTAAATATTACTTGATAAGGAAATACATTTATTCTACATCATTTCTAAACATGTTGTACCTTGTAAGATGTTTTTAAAAAGCAAACAAAATGAAGGTAAATAAGAGTGTTTTGTATACAAGAAGGGCTAGTATCAATTCAAAGCTGATCGGTGAAGCTATTTGTCATTTTTTATCACAATAAATTGTTGAAATGTCATTTCCACCACCGTCATTTCCATCACCACACACATTTTTATAAATATTTAAAAAGTTCTCATCACACATTAAAAGTGTATTCACAATATATAAGTTCATGCTCTATTTAATAAACAAATTCAGTTTATTTATTTTCGAATAAGCTCTTAACCAAACTAATATTAAATTTTAGAGTGTGACAGGTGTACAATTCAGCATACAACTCATTTATTTCATTGACAAATGTATAATTATTATATATGTGAAAAGATTTGTTTAAATAGATACAAAAATGATCTTAGACAATGTTTGACTGCAATAATTTATTACATTTTGAAATAAAAGCTGTATTCTGAGATGTGGTGGAATTGACATTTGTTCAGTTCACCATGGAAAAAATGTTAAATATGAACAAGTTTGCCCTCTTACAGATCTTAAAACTAGACAAATTGTTTAAACTTAGCTATGTTACATTAATTTTAAACAATTTTTTTTTACTCATCTTCACAAGGCTAAAAGTGCCTGTAGTTAAATAATTGCCCATATATATATATATATATATATATATATATATATATATATATATATATATATATATATATATATTGTTTGCATGTGTATATTTGAGGTAAACTGTTCTGACACAATGATTTACTAAAGGAAGCAGGCAGGCAAGAGTTTCAGAATAGAAACATCAATAGAGTCGAGTGTGGAGGCAGTGGCAGATTGAGGGGGCATTTTGAGTTCCTTCACTGGTCTATATTATGCAAGCATTCTTGGTCTTTCAACACCCACATTTATACACTGTCTCAGCCCTATATGTTGCTATGAAAAGCAAGTTTCTATTGACTTCCATGACAGATATTAATCAGACAAGGAGCCAAATCGCTATCTCCGAATAGATACACAGTACTGTCTTAAAGGAAAATTATAATACAGACCAAGATGCAGTATGTTTTTCAGCCTGTTGCAACCTAACTTTTACTTTGTCAAAGATTTTCATAAACCAAAAGCTTTCTGTTCATTTGAATTAAATAAATTAATACCTTTGATAATTAACTATTAAATAATAAATAATTAATGCTATTGAATGAGATCTCTTATATTTCTTGCTCTGATAACTGGAATCTTTCACTGACAGGTTACATTTTAATTTAATTTTATTTTATTTTATTTTATTTTATTTTATTTTATTTTATTTTATTTTATTTTATTTTATTTATTTTATTTTATTTTATTTTATTTTATTTTATTTTATTTTATTTTATTTTATTTTATTTTAATTAATTAAATTAAATTAAATTAAATTAAATTAAATTAAATTAAATTAAATTAAATTAAATTAAATTAAATTAAATTAAATTAAAACAAATTAAAACAAATTAAATTAAATTAAATTAAAACAAATTAAATAATTTAAATAAATTAATTTGATGTAATGTAATTAAATTGTGCACAAATATTATAGTTATAAATTATTGAAATTAACCAACAATAATGCCAAAGGGGGAATAATAGTCTTCACAAAAATGTTCAACGGGTCTTGTTAGTCATGGCTCAGCCTCAAGTACTTTTTTAATATAAAGTAAAATTACAAACTAGTGATTAAAAGTAAAAAATGTAAACCAATATTTTATTAAGCAATTCCATTTATTACCAAAACACATCTGAAAGATTTAAGTTTGTTGCTGAAAGAAACTCCTAGAGAAAGAGAAACTCCTAGATAAAATAAGTGTCTACTCACCAGATCTTCCATCTCTCTGGATGTCCACATGGTGCCAGACTCCATCATTGACCTTATTCTGCGTGGCTTTAACTTTAATTGTCCCTGATCCCATGTCCAGCAAAAGATAAAGATGTCCATCTAGAAGTTCCACGGCAAAGAAGTCTACTTTGTTGCTCCTCTGGCTACGAGAATCTTTTTTGTCCTGTGGTTTACCTTGCGTGAAGAGGATGAGTCCGTTGGGCTCTGAGGTCCGAAAATCAAAGGAAATGGAGCCCACACGCTTGGTGTTCCACTTCGGCAGGCCGAGGAAGGATTCCGCCGTCTCAAAAGAGATGGGGTCGAGGGTGGGGACATTCTCACATTTAAACACAATATCTCCTTGTAGCTTCATTTTGGGGTCTGCGATGCGGGCCAGACGAGAGAGTTCCAATCGTATGTCATTGTTCTTGTAAACCACCTACAATTGAAGAAACATACATCAAATACTGTTTTTCTAATAAATTATATGGTAATTTGATTTAATGACAGGTATTTTAAATCAATACAAAATGTTGTTCCAGACACTATATTAATGTCTAATCAAGTAGTATATATTTTGCAGACAAGTACAGATTTAAGCATTTCTAACATACACTCAAGTCAACAAGCCACTTGCTCGACTTGCAAAATACAAATATGTCTTATGTGAAAAGAATGGGACAAGTTTAGTTCTGTTAAATGATTCATTCTAATTGTTGTAAACTAAATGAAGGAATGAAAATGATTCAAGCTCTTCATATATGTACGACTCTTCATATTTAAGCTCTTCATATATGTACGACTCTCTCTGGTGAGTTACTGTGCGCCTCCATCAGTAGATGATGGTATGCACTTAAGCTGTTTCGAATATCCATCAATAAGACCACATAAGTCGAAGTTACTGCGCATGCTTAGCTTAGACTGAACTTTTGCAATTTTCCAGTTGTGATGTTCATTTACATACATACACACAGTTGAAGTCAGAATTATTAGACACCCTTTGATTTTTCTCTTTTTTTCCCAAATGATGTTTATGAGAGCAAGGAAATTTTCACATTATGTCTGATAATATTTTTTTCTTCTGGAGAAAGTCTTATTTGTATTTCGGCTAGAATAAAAGCCGTTTTAAAATTTTTAAGAACCATTTTAAGGTCAAAATTATTAGCCCCTTAAAGCTATATATTTTTTTCGATAATCTACACAGAACCAACTATCATTGCACAGTAACTTGCCTGATTACCCTAACCTGTCTAGTTAACTTAATTAACCTAGTTAAGACTTTAAATGTCACTTTAAGCTGTATAGAAGTGTCTTGAAATTATCTAGTAAAATATTGTTTACTGTCATCATAGCAAAGATAAAATAAATCAGTTATTAGAAATGAGTTATTAAAACTATTATGTTTAAAAAATGTGCTGAAAAAAATCCGCTCTTAAACAGAAATTGGGGAAAAAATAAACAGGGGGGCTAATTCTTCAGGGGGGGTAATAATTCTGACTTCAACTGTGTATATATATATATATATATATATATATATATATATATATATATATATATATATATATATATATATATATATATATATATATATATAGACAACTTATGCTTCACAATAACAGCTTGAACAGTACTGATGTAGTGATAGAATGAAGAAGATGGACATTTGTAGCTGGACAGGAGCTCTCCTACCCAATATTATGACACTGTTCCTTAAAATGGGCTGCTAGAACAAGTAAGCTCGGAGTGGAACAATCATTGATGGTCAGTACATCCTTTTTTGGAATTGGTATTTCATTAAATACCATGTTTTCTTCTGTGTTACTATTTTATAGCTTTAAAAATGTATTTATATGCTATTGTTATAATTGTATGTTTATTTGTGTTAATGTGTAAATGTTAATTTTTTTGTCTCACGCCATAGTTTAACTTACTTGACAAAAATATACTAAGAGACATATTGTGAGGATGTAAGGAAATAAAGCTATATTGGTAATTTAGACAAATCTAATTAAAGCAACAAAATAAAATTTAAAAACCATTAATGGACAAGACCAAAACCTGTTGATGTAACGAGGATGATTTTTGTTACGTTATTAAATTCAATGAGATAAACACAACATGAATATTATAATTCAAATATCTGCAAAGAAGTTACACAGACCTATTAAAACCATGTTGAAGTTAATGTTTATATTGTGTTCATACAACATTCAAAGCAGTTTAAGTTCAAACTTACTCTGTTTAGATGCACAATGGGTGCTACGAATAAATACATATATATATATATATATATATATATATATATTTATTTTTTTTTCTTTCCGAGTTATACAACTGTAGTACACTGATTGTTGATGTGAGACATGAGTGGTCATGTATAATACTGCATTTTTAAATGTGATAGATATATAGATATCCACTGCCTCATTTCCGTTCTCCATCATGGACCTGGCTCTTCATCCCTCCCTCCCCCTGTTCTGCCTCCTCTCCACCTCCCTCCTGGACTCTTTGCTTTTTTGGAGCATCTGGAAGCTGCTCCTTAGGGATGAGGCTATGTCACATTGCCCAACTGGAGTACCCTTGAGCTCCACCAGTCGGCACTCTAGCCCTGACTCCACTCTAGCCCTAGCCACTTTGCAGCGGACTCAATTTCCAATAATCCCTGGACTCATTAGAACTCATCACGTTCACACCTTTTTCATGAACGGAGGACTAATACAACACACACAGTGATTGTTTACAGGGCATGTTCACACATGGGCTTTCTTAAATAAAAATAAAATAAAATAAAAACTCTGTTTACATGAAAACGGTGGTGATATAAATCTTAAGCATAAAGCCATGCTGGCAAATCAGAAGCCTGACAAAAAAAGACAAGCGTGCAGTCTGACAAAGGAGAAAACAGCACACACTCCCAGGTCAAGACAAAATCCCCAGTTTCACCACCACCTTAGTGCTGTTTTGACCCAAACTAATTTGACCCATCAATCTAGAGTTAGGGGCGATTCACACAGAATGCGTTATTCCTTTCCAATGTGCAACGTTATCAATCCTTTTTAAATTAAGTTCATACTCACACTATGTACAGTTGCCTCGAACCTGGCCAAAGCACGCTTGTCCCCCCTCCCGTCTTCCCCGGCGGCCCGCACTCACAATCGGGCCTCGGCACGCTTACGTCATCGATGCTGTGTTCTGTTCAATGAGAAGCGCTCTTGCTCAGCACAGAGGAGATTTCTCTAGTTATATCGTTTAAGTCGTTTGATATGCAGTGACATGCAGTCAAATATTTCGCCAAACAGTCCTTAGGGATGCGGTGACATGCAGTCAGATATTTCGCAGAACAGATCTGGCACTTTTGGCGCTCATAAACAATCATAAAGCTCTCGTGCTGCAGGATTGAGGAGGTGTCATATTCTGAGCTATTATTTGTTTTCTCCACAAGATGTCGCCATTTTCCCCAGTGTTTCTGTTTGTGGTTCATTTGTGTTAATTTGGTTCAGCTGTGTCTTGTTAGACTAGCCTATATATTCTACCCTCTTGTCTTCACTTGTCACTCGGTTTTTGAGTTTGATGTGCTACCGCTGTTGCCGTAAGTCCTCTTGTTATTACCTTTTGTATTTTTTTTTTGGCTATAGTACCAGTTGCTCTACGGAGAACTTTATGTTTGTTAATTGCTTAGCTTTTGGAGTTCCTATGTTTTTGCCTGGCGGCTTTTTCTTGATGATTTTGGATTTCCTTAATAAACACCTTTGTTTGAACTAGACCTTGTGCCTTAGCAATTGGGTTCACCAACTCTCCCTGTGGCTCATCGTTAAACCACTGGTCTACTACACCAGCGACCCGGGTTCGAGCCTTGGGCTCATCACAGGAGGTCTGCTGAAGGTGCGCAGCGGTCGTGCAGTGAGGGGTTTGTGTCTTTAATAAACTACGGCAGTTTGTGTTCATTGAACAGTAAGAATGAATAATAAATCCATATGAAAGAATCCCTAACAAGTCATGTCTCGCTTTCAGTTTTGGGCTTTGGCAAGTTTTGCACTCACACACAAGTGTATCGTGCCAAAGCCCAAGTGAACCGCGCTCAGGCACACCTCTTCCAACCGGGCCAGGGCCGGAAAAGTGAACCATGCTTGAGCCCGATTCAGCGCACTCACACTTCTCAAACGATCCGGGAAACAGGCCTGGGCACGGTACGGATGGCATAGTGTGAGTAGGCCCTTAAACACATGCTTGACGGATGTCTGTTGCTTTCATGTTTTCTTGTCTGTGCTTTTAACAAAAGGGTTCTAGTTCAGCATGTTATCATTCAACTGAATGCCCATTATCAGTTGTTATCAGCTCATAGATATGGCCAGTAAGGATCTTCTGCACCTACTGTTTGTTTAAAGGAGAGCAGATTTTTTTCAACACATTTCTAAACATAATAGTTTTAATAACTCATTTCTAATAACTGATTTATTTTATCTTTTCCTACTTTATCTACTTTATCTTAGGCAAGTTAGTAGACTATCGAAAAAATATATAGCTGAAAGGTGCTAACAATATTGACCTAAAAATGTTTTTTAAAAATTAAAAAATGCTTTTATTCCAGTCAAAAGAAAACCAATAAGACTTTCTCCAGAAGAAAAAATATTATCAGACATATTGTGAAAATGTCCTTGCTCTGTTAAACATCATTTGGGAAATATTTGAAAAAGAAAAAAAAAAATCAAAGGGGGGCTAATAATTCTGAGGGCCCATTTACACTAGCGCGTTTTAGTTTGAAAATGGCATTTTAGATCAAAAACGATCCGCATCCACACTAGCATTTCACCTAGAGTTTCCGAACATATCTCCGTCCACACTACGCCACCAAAAACGTATAACACGTAACCATTCGCGCACTCCAGGCATATGCCGCTGCTGTAGTAAAAAAGGCAGAGTTTATCTGCACAGTGGCGCCTAAAACAGACAATAGTGCAAACAAAGCTCCCATTTCTGTGTCCATGTTGTTGTTTACAGTGAAGGCTGGTCTGCTGTCTTCTGGTAGCGTTAAAGCCATGTGTTATAGTCATGTGATAGGGGCTTGACGAATAAGGGAAGGATTCGCAATGACACAAAAGCCTCAATCAGCTAGCGAATCTCGGCAGCCCCGCCTCCGTTTTCAGATGTCTCCGTTTTTCCTCATCCACACTGAGACGGAGCAGCAGCGTTTCAGAATGAAAACAGCCTTTCCAGCGTTTCCAAAACGCTTCGTTTTCGGCGCTCGAAAACTCCGGCGTAGTGTTGATGGATGGCATAATCGTAGCAAAACATATGCGTTTTTAAACTAAGTGTAAACGGGGCCTGATTTCAACTATAGATGGATAAAAACAGCCTTTTGAGCCTACTAGTAGGTGCAGAAGGACCCTACTGGCCCATATCTATCAGCTGATAACCACTGATAACACCCATTCAATCAAC